AGCTGGGACATTTCCTCATCAAACGTTGTTGCAAACACTATGACATCATCCAGGTACAGTAGGGCTATCCTCCATTATAGGCCTTCCAGTACTCTTTCCATCAGCCTTTCAAATGTTGCTGGAGCATTGCTAAGTCCGAATGGCATCATACGATATTGCCAGAGACCTTGACCATAACTAAATGCAGTTTTAGGTTTATCTGCTTCAGCCATTTTCACTTGATGGAAACCTGACTTTAAGTTTAGAGTTGAAAACCACCTGGCTCCACTTAGAGAATCGAGAGTATCATCAATTCTTGGCAGTGGGCATGATTCCTTTTTGGTTATACTGTTAAGAGCCCTGAAGTCCACACAGCAACGTTGGGTCTCATCCTTCTTCTGGACTAACACGACGGGAGCTGACCAGGGATTATCGGATTTCTCGACTATCCCTTCCTTAATTACGCCATCCATGACCTTCTCCATCTTATTTCGCTTTGCCAGGGCTATTCTCCTTGGAGGGATCTTTATTGGACGGTGATTGCCTGTGTTTATTCTGTGGTCCACAAGGTTTGTGCAGCAGAGGTCATGATCTCCTTTTGAAAAGACGTCTGCATAATTCTCCAAAACTTCCCTAACCTGAAGAGCCTGTGATGATGACAAATGGACTATGCTCTTCTTATAGAGGTCAGTTAAATGTTCTGGGAGAGGATGTCCTTTATTTATGGTTGTATTTTTTGCTTTAACATTGACTGACATCGTTGCACCTTTGACCATCCATCTTTCCTGTGACGTAGACACTATGTGTGCTTCTCGTTTTACACTTAACTGTTGGGACTTTCACAATGGGGTTGGTGGGCTTCTCTCAGCACCAAGCACTACTGGTTTCCTGAAGCTGACTTATTGGTAGTATTCTTCTTACACTGGCTCCTCATATGTCCTTGCTCTCCACAGTTTCAACAACCTTTCTGGGTAGCAGCCTTTCCTGCCGTGGCATCTTCCCGTGTTGAAGTTGCCGGCATTGAGCTCTCTTGTGCCCAGGTTTGTTACAGTGCCAGCATAGTTCCTCAAACGTCTCTTAAAGCTGCCCTTTTCTGGCCTTGAATCCTGATGACTGTACCAACCTTGGTACCTCTGTTCTGGACTTAACATAGGATTCGAATTCAAGAGCTCTGGCCATTGCATCCTGCATAGTAGATGGGTGTGCTTGCTTTACTTGTATCCTCAGTTGTGGACTGTCCAAGGCGTCTACAAACTGATCCCTCAGCAACAGCTTGAGGACATCGGATGGAGCAGTTGGGTTGGCCTTGTGTGCCATACTTTCCAAATGCCGTGCCAGCTCTTGCAGGCTCTCCCCTTTAGCACGTACTCTCGTCCTAAACCTAGCCCTGCAGACTTCAGCCTGATTTTGAGTTCCATACCCGAGTTCCAGAGCAGCTATCAGCGCTCTATAGTTGTGCATGTCATTTGCTGACAACTGTCTAAGTACTTCCAGTGGTTGTCCCTTTAGGCTCGTTGCCAGGTACACTGCTTTCTGCTCCTTTGTCCATCCATTCATTTCTGACAGTAGCTCAAATTGTGCTCTATATGCTTCC